CAGTCAGGGCTTGAGCAGGCTTGCCTACCATGCAGCCCACAGCATCCAGAGTTCTCCCCCACCCTTCTAGCTCTTGTGCACTACTCATGGCTCTGAGCAACAGAGGAAGGAAGTGCTCATTGTTCAGGGTACAAATTCATCAACTGAGGGGGCTGTTCTGAGTGGAAATGTACACTCTTCCCTCCTACTACCATGTATCTCACCCTCAAGGTGCCACATAGGGTGTGAGGAGCTTGGAGGCTGTGGTAGGAGAAGCCACTTGCACTGCATTGTGTGGGCACTTGAGGCTCCCTGCTGGACCACGATGTTGAGCTCCCTGGGCTGAGAATCTGTCCCTTATAAATAGAGCCTTTAAGAATCTGCATCTGTAACTTTCCTAGGTGTTGCTGTCTCACTAACCTGGAGATAGACAGTGATATAAAAATAATCCACTTTTATTTGGAGTAGCAACTCAGAAATGCCGTAGTGATCAGCTATTTAGTTCCATGGGCATGTTCTTTCATGACCTCTGAGAGGGAAATGTTTGTTTAGTTTCTTCTAGATTGTTTGGCAAGGTTATTTTCAGAGGGAATTCAAAAAAGAAAATAATTTTATAGTAAAATAAAAGCTAATTGCTTATAATTAAGTTCAATAGAAACATACTCCATAATTTATTAAAACTTATTTTTTAAGGTCTTTAATGTTTTATACATGCCTGCTAAATGAATCAGCAGAAGGCTATTTTACAAAATACGATTCAGATAACTAGGGAATGATTTGTGCTTTCTAAGCCCTAAGTTTTCAGTGTGTTTTCTTGGAAAAGGAAGAAAACGAATGTAGATTATTTGCTTCTGGAACAACACATTTTATTTGTTCTTCATTCTTGCCTTGAGAAATATTTGTGAATTTAAGTTGCAGAGGCCAAATGATGCTTTTTAAATATTATTCATAATATTCTAACTGAATTGAAACATAGTGAGACAGGAAATGTTTGAATTTGTGCTCTGACCCCACCGACATTGACTAAAATCATCTTCTGAAACAGAATAGCTGTGAGTGGCCATAGACAGATTTCTTGTTGCTTCTACTCTCCACTTTTCTTTGTCCCTCTGTTCCCATGATCACTTAGAACACCTTAGCTAAAGCACTTTTGTGTGTGGACAGTTGAGCCTTTTGTGACTAAGATTGTAGTCAGGGGAAGGTATATTTTCTTACTGCCATTGCCTATTGATGTATAAAATTAAGGTAATTTGGTATCTTTAAATCTCAAGCCTGGATATTCTCGTTAGTGCTGTGGATCATGGAGTAGCTAAGGAGACAAAGCACTCCCACCCCTCTGGATAAGAATCAGCAACATCTTCTCCAATCTGTTTTGTTACATGCGTTGCCATGGTGTTGGAAGGCGGTGGCCTAGATAAAGCATTGCAGAACTGTGGTTCAGAGAAAAGCTTTGCAAAATATCTTCTCTCTCAGTCAGCCTTAAACCTAGCTAGGGTCTCCATCTACCTTCTGTAATCTGATGGATACATTATCAATGTCATCAATAAAGTCTCCTAAAACCTCCTTAATGTTCTTGCTGTCTTTACATTTCTGAAGGTCCCCAAAGTGCCTTCGTGCCTATCTTTCTATTTATCTCTTCTCTGTTTCTCCCCTCTATTCCTCCTATCTCTTTCTCTCTGTCTTTTACATTTATTGAGCACCACGTACCATACTGTGCAACAGGGGACTGGCTCCTGGTAACACAACCTTGTTACCATGTATTATTTTCCCTTTCTTAACACATATTGCCCCTGAAGCTTTGGGCAATTGGGTGCTTTAGTGTTGTGATAGGATTACACTACCTGGAAGCCGGGCAGAGCCGGGTTTCAAGTTCTCTCTGACTTTGGAATCTCTGCACTTTCCATCATATCCAGGACTTTCAGGGTCTAAAGTGATCTGCTGGCCGCAGGTATCCCCTAAGCCTCTCCCAGTAGCTTACTTGTTACTAATTTGTAGATCTCAGGATCTCCTTATTGGTGAGGAAGTTAATAGTAAAATCTAAAGAGAATAATTACCTGCAGTGGCTGAGGAGATCCCATAGGAATCAACTGCTTGCATCTAAAGCAGGATGTGCTAATTCAACTCTGCAGCAAATCGTTTTAATTTCATAAGACTCACCTAGAGAACACTAATAAAAAATTTGGATTCCTGATGCTGTAGCCTTTCTTCGTGATTTATAGAACAGAAATGGAGCCCGGGAATCTGAATTTTTAGCAGTTTCCCTGGGTGATCCTACGCAAGTGGAGGGCCATACTTTAGTATGCGCTGCTGGAAGGCAGTATTATCAAAGTGGAGAAGATTGAAATAGCCTGGGAGGCTTTAAAATAATATAGATTTTCGAGCCTCACCCCACACCAATGGAATTAGAATCTTTGTGATAGGCAGAGATGGACCTTGAGATTCTATACTTTTTTAAAGTTCCCCAGGTGATTTTGAAATAACCAGTCTTATTACTATCATTTGGTCAATGCTTTCAACTGCTTTCCCATCCATATATTATTAGCATCAGACTCTCGGTTCTATATCTGCAATCCTGATGCCTCCTTCCAGGCCTTTGTACCACTGCCTCCCCCTCACCTTCACTCCTCTTTCTAAGGGGCTAGAATATGCTTAAAGCCAGACTGCCATTTTGAAAAATATTCCCCTAGGAGACAAGCAAATTTCAAGCACCATTCTAAGCTGAACTCTTGATTTCAGCAAAAAAAACTTTTTTAAATGATGAAGAATCATGGTTTAATGAAACTATTGAAAATTCCCTAAAATTTATCCTACATGACTAAGCTGTAGCAGCTTTTTGTATTCAGTTTAACCCACATGGAAAATGTGAAATCACCATATTAACAACACAATCTAGCAGTTAAATGGCATGACAGTTACCATGGGAATGTGCCAAACACAGGTGGGCTGACAGTGTGTGTAGGGGGTTTTGGAGGGGGATGTATTGTAGGTTAGAACTGCTATGCCTGTTTTTATATTTAAATTATTTATACAGTCAACAGATTTTAAAGAGATGCATCTGGACTTTCTAAATTATGATCTTCCGCCTCTCTACCTTGTCAACTTGTTAGAGGGAATTATTTAATTGCTATAAGTGCAACCTTTTTCTTTTGGTGAAAACATGGTTATTTCTGCCTTCAGCTAGAATCTCTGATTTTTTTTTTCTACACAGACTTCTGGATGTAGTAATAATAATAATGACCAAAAATGTAAAATCCAAATGCATTCTATATCCTGCAAGACCCTAGATAAACGGAACCTCAGCTAGCTCCCTGATGTCACCTTGTACAGTCACTGGTTTTACCCTTATAATGACACTATGATATGGATCCTATTCTTATTTATTCCTGTTTCATAGATAAATAGAAAATATAACACTGCAGTGCCCCATGACTGAAGATCTTATGGGTTTAAACAACACAATGAAATTGATGTTAAACTTGTTAAAGAAGATTTGCTACCCACACATTTAGATTCATTACCCACACTGATTTGGCCAACTCCTGGTGGCACATTTGTGAGTCTGCATTATAATCACTCATGGAGATGATTAAAAAGAACAGTGCCTGGCTTTACCCCAGACCCATGGAATCAGATTTCCAACGGTGTGTAGTGAGGAGATACAGAGCTCAGGTAAAGGTAGTCTGAAGACACTCTAGGTTATTCTGAGGCACAAGGGTTGAGAATCACTGTGGAATTATAAAATATCTTATTTTGCACATGAGACATTTGTGCTGTTTGAGTGCTGTTAGGGCAGTACTAAGGAAGAAGTTTCATAAAGTCACTTCTGTGTTTTATTTGTCTAGTCCAGTGTCAGGTCAACAATAGCACTACTCACTGGGTGCGGTGGCTTACACCTGTAATCCCAGCACTTTGGGAGGCCGAGCTGGGTGCATAACCTGAGGTCAGGAGTTCGAGACCAGCCTGACCAACATAGTGAAACCCCGTCTCTACAAAAATACAAAAATTAGCAGGGCATGATGGCAGGTACCTGCAATCCCAGCTACTCAAGAGGCTGAAGCAGGAGAATCTCTTGAGCCCAGGAAACGGAGGTTGCAGTGAGCCAAGATTGTGCCATTGTACTCCAACCTGGGCAACAGAGTGAAACTCCATCTTAAAAAAAAAAAAAAAAAAAAACAGATAGCACTACTATTGCTCCTATGCATATTAATATTCAAGATAATGATAATAAATACCAAGTTAAACTGATTTCTCTGGATCAGGCATTGAACAAAGTTATGCATATTATCTTGTTTAATCTTGCAAACAACCTATGGAGGTAGGTACAAAAATTATCCTCTGCATTTTTCACATAAGGCAATTGAGGGTCACCCAGGCTAAGTTATTTGCACTGGGTCCCATATTAAATGTGTAAAGCAGATTTTCTTCTTATTTTAGCTCTAGTCTTAACCTCTACACAGCATTTCTTCTCAAAGATATTTAGCTAATGCTTTTGGAAGGAAGAAACTGGCAATAAGGAAAGAAAGAAAGGATGAATGCAAGGAAGGAAGAGAGGAAATGAGAGAGGGAGGTGAACAATAACAGAGGGAAAAGGAAGGGAAAGTGGAGGTAAGAAGAGTATTTGTCCTATGAAAATAGAAATACAAGTCAACCCTGAAGTCAACTCATACTTGCTTTTCTTCACAAAATGAGTCTCTGTAGTCACTTGCCAGCAATATATCTTATATTTCTGTCACCTGTGGGGTTCCTGTCTTACAGGTCTTATTGAAATGTTATCTCTTTTCTCCCAAAGAGAAAGTGCCAGTGTGGGACAGTGATTTCAAGTACATTCTTAGGTTATGGTATTTGGGGGGAGAATTTTTGGTGTACTGAACAAAGGGATTAAAAAGGTCAGTTTTATGTAGGGACTCCCTTTGCGGGGGAGGAAAGGTCTCATTTCCAAAAACTTTATTTTTTCTTCCCAGAGTTTTACATGGAAATATGATGAAACATTGCCTTCCTACTATATAATTAATAGAAAAAACATGAACTGAGCCTGGATTGCACTATTATGATAAGGTGTGGGAGAAAGGGAAAAGGATTCAGCCAAGTGCCCCAGATTTTAGGTTTTACTCTGGGTTTTCTTTCTCTGAGTTCATCTTCCATTGTCTCTTCTCATTACTGGAGTGATAATGCTTAGAGGCCTAAGATTAGGTTGTAGGTCTGGGATAAGGTAGCAAGAAGCCACAGTCTTACTTCTGGTCTGGGCCTCTCATATCCTCCCACTCTAAACCAAAGTTGCCCCTGTTTCACTCAACAGTTCTGTAGTTTTCATGCAGGGTCAGAGACCAATGTTCCACAGGGCAATAAAATGAATGCATTTGGCTGGAGTGTACCTTCCATGTATCTTATTCTGGAATCTGAACGAGCAACATATGGTTATTCAAAAAATTCACAGATACTGGGTCCTAGTCAAATATCACCTCTTCTTAAATAAGAGGGCCATCCTTTCTCAGAGCCTGCAGTGAAGAGAGTACTACTTAACTTAGCAGTTCATAACACCTGTGAATACCAAAGTCCCCTGTCGCCAAAACACAAATTATTTTGTAAGGGTTGTAGCAGGTTTCCAAGCAGGGCTTCACCTGCTCGAATTGGGAAACTTTTTCCAAGCCCCTAGTCACTTGTCTTGTGAAAAATGCTACTTCTATGATTCTTTAATTAAAAAAAAAACAAAAAAAAAAAACCCAGAGCAGAAAATTATGTTGTATGAGAGTACAACCTTCAGAGTCAGACACACCCAGATTTTATTCATGAGCATTACTCGATATGAATTTGGATTTTATGTAAATCTGTTTCCTTATCTCTATATCATGGATAATAACAATAACCATATAGGTATTTTGTTATGATTAAATGCAACAATCTTGCACTGGTCTTTAAGTTTTTATTTTATATTGTGTTCTTTCCCCCAAGTCTCACATCTTTGGCCTCAAAGGGATTAAAATGATGTAGGTTGTGTTCTTCAGGAAGCCAACTCTGAGATGTAGTTTAGTGTGCAGAGTATGTTCAGATGAGAGAGTTCTTGGGACCAAGTCCCATGAAAGAAAAGGAAGGATTGAGAGAAGGAGAAGGCTGAGCAGTCTTAGCTGATCCCACAGTAAGATCTGAACTGTGGTGACCATCTTAATTATCCTGTATTAGGTCAAAAAGACTATGCCTTTTTACCTGAGCCTCAACAGTCATTGGATGTTGCCTGAGGATCCCATTACCCTAGAAGAGGTGGCTCTGTGCAGCTGAGGCAACTGGAAGCTGGAATATGCCTGCTGGCAGCACTCCCTGTAGCTGAACAACAAGTGCTTCTTGAAGAGGGATTTGGGTGGGTCATCCCTGTGTCCCCACATCATGCCCCTGACACATGATTCTTAATGATAAATAGCTTTTGGCTTCCTATGCTCCCAGCAATGTGTCATAAATCTGGATACATCTATCTATCTATCTATCTATCTGCCATTTACCCATCCTAAGCACACATAAGTGAATTGCACAACATCAACCATCTGGTAAATAATAGTGTGGCCTTTAAAGCAACACAATCTAGCTGCAGTGCTCCTATGCTTAAACTCTGCTATACTCTATCTTGCAGTAACCTGGGTCTTTAAAAAGATCTACTGGTCCTGTCAGACATAGCTGTGTGTTTCTAGTACAGTGGTTCTCAAACTTTGATTCCCCAGATTAGCATCATCAGCATCAGTGGAAATTTGTTAGAAATGTAAATCTTCTGGCCTTACCCAGACGCAGAATCAGATATTTTCAGAGCAAGGCACACAATCTATGTTTCAGCAAGTCCTCTAAGGGATTCTGCTGCACCCTCAAGCTTGAGAAACTTTGCAATAATATATAGGGACAAAAACAACAGCAAAAATAGCCTAGCATATACTAAGGGCCTTTCCATTCAATCTTCTTTTCATCTACCCTCACCTGTGGAACTCTGCTCCTTCGTAGTCAATGACGCCGGCTGCTGAAATCTTTCCCTGCTGGGTTCCACATTAGAAATGGACAACTCCTTATTGCATCATGTCACCATCATTCCCTCTTAGCCTCAAGGGTAGTGCTTCATTAGTTTTGTTATTTATAATTTGATCTTGTCCCAAGGCAAGTGTGGCAACCCAAACCATGTATGTTGGTTTTATTGGCAGGCCAAAGAGCCCTGAGTTGAGATCTCAGGCCCATGACTAATTAAAAGCATGTCCTTGACCAATCTCAAATTTATCTTTGTTTCAATGTTTTTATCTGCAAAATTGGGAGTACAAATACCTGCCTCACGGGGCTGCCTGCATATTTAATTAGATCATTAATTTCTATAATTGCCTAGTTTCTAACACATAAAATATGCTCCACGAGAGACTTGGTTAAAACTTACATGGAAACCCTTTCCCTCTTCCTGCTGAGATATCATTAAAAAACCAACTGGACTTACAAATTAACAGCATATCAGTATATGACATATTATTCTAAATACAACATTCTACTCATCCATCCTTCTTAACCTCACCAAGAAAAGCCTTTATTAAAATATTTTACATTTTTTTCTAAAAAAAAAAGTCCAAGTAGAATGCCAGAAACATACTCCAATGGATTTGTTTAATCTGAATATATGTATATGTGTGTACACACACATAAACACATACACACACACACACACACACACACAGTTAAGCTCTTGTAACAAACCTTCACATAATCATAAGTCTGCAGAAACAGAAAGTTATAATACATTTCCCCATCCATCATAAGGGTCACAACTAACACGCCTATAACAAAAGACATGTTAACAAGAAAAAGCATGACAAGTTTCTTATGTCAAAGTTCAATATGGCATAAATGAAAAGCCAAAGACCCAGGGAAAAATGTCTATTTTTATGCTTCGATTCAATCAAGAGTAGATTGCCATTTAGAAAGGTGACTGGACCAAAAGAGTTGATCTAATAGACTGAGGTGGGGAACCCATAAGACCTCTTCATTTATATTCTCCTTGGCCTCTCTATGGTGCATCCCTTCCTCCTGGGTATAGGGTAGGAGCTCTCTGGAATGAGGGTCTTATACCCTACAGTCAGACAAGGTAGGTCAGAGAGTTTCTTTGTGGCCATCTTTCACACAGAGATGTGGGGAAAGATTAAAATTATATTTCTATGTTTTATGTCATGATTTATGAGAAAGGGGTTCTAGTTTTTATGACCCACCTTGGAAAGGAGAAATTGTCTTTTCTATATCTTGCTTCTGGGGAGAAAAGGGGCAGGAGACAGGAAGGCAAGAAAAGATCAGAGACATTTTGCTTCTGAGGCTGCTTCTGATGCCTTCCAGTCTCCTTTAGTTCAAAGTACTCAGCATGCCAAAGCATCATACTGTAGGATGGTATTTTTTGAGCCCTAAAAAGTCCAATATTAATTATATGAGTTAAATATAGACTTTTCCATTTTAGTGATGACAAACCACCATTGATAGTGGTTAACGATCTTGCCAATATTATGCGGTTAACAAAGGGCAGAACCAGAATTGGAGCTCAAAATCCCAGTACAGTTTTCTTTCCATTATTCAGCCCTACCTCAAAGAACTCTGATTAGCTCTTAAATTATTATTTTTTAACTAAGAAAGAAATCTAGGTGTTGATGATAGATTAGAACAGTATCCAGATAATGATATTCACCTTTTCTAATCAGAGCATTACTGAAATTTTCTCTTTGGATAGATGTTGGGAACCTTGCAGAGAAAAATTTTGTCATCAGCAGGGCCCAAAAACCCTTAATGTGAAAGAAACTGGAAAGTTATTAAAATACCAAAGGATTATGATTTAAACCTAAACTAAGGAGGCTGTGAAAGGAGAGAAGAATGAATATCTCCTGGCATGAGGCCCATTAACATCCTAGAAAGAGCTAACTGTGGAATAGGACACAGTGAGGAACTAAGAGCTTTCTAGAGGTTGACCTTGAAAATCCAGCCAATCTCCACAGGGGTCTTGATCTACAGAAGTTCCCTGGGCATTAACTTACATAAGAGTGACCAGAGCAGCAGCTCTCAACCTTGACTGCATGTTAGGATCATCTGGGGAGGGTTTTAAAATTCTGATGCCCAGGCCACACCTAGACTAATGAAATCAAGGATTGCTAAAGGTGGGACCCAGTCATTAATATTTTTTAAAGCTCCCTGTGAGATGATAGAGCATAGCTCAAGTGAAGAGCCACAATTCTGGAAGCTAAAATATTTTCCTCTCTTTTTTGTTTGTTCCTTCATACTTTTTGCCTTCCTTTCTCCCTCTCTTTCTCCTTTCTTCCCATCCTTCTTTCCTTTCTTTCTTAAAAACGGGTTTGAGAATTTATTACACAGAAGCCATGACTATAAAGATACATAAGATGTGATTTCTGTCCCTGTCTTATTTTTATGTAGCTCTGTAGTAAATCAATGCAAATTTAGAAATTTAAATTGCACCTATATATTAACTAGTAGTTCTGTAGTTCAGAAGTCTGTCACAGCATGAATGGGCTCCCTGCTCAGAATATTGGGAATGCTGAAATGGAAGTGTCAGCCAGGGTCAGTTCTCATCTTGAGGTGCTGGCGAAAAAAATCCACTTCCAGGCATATTCAGGTTGATGGCTGAATTCAATTCCTCAAGTTCAAGTATTGATCTTTTTTATCTCTTTTTTTTTGCTGTCTGTCAAAAAGGGGCTTCCCTCAGCACTTAAATGCCACCCACATTTCTTGCTATTTGATATCCTCCACCTTCTAGTCAGAAATGGTGCAATGAATCTTTCATGCTTCAAATCTATGATTTCAGCTTCTGTGACCAGCTGGACAAAAGTCTTTGCTTTTAAAGAGTTGAAATGGTTAGGTCAAATCCATTTAGATAATCCCCCTATCTAAAGGTCAGTTGATTTGGGACTTAATTACATCTGCAAAACTGCCTTCATAGCAACACCTAGATTATCATTTAAATAACTGGGAGAAGGTTTGTGCACATACAAAACAAGACTCTTGGGGGCCATCTTAAAATTCTGCTACCACAGTCCCCAAGGAGTTCACAAGTAGGGATACAGGCTTGAGACTCAGTATTAAGTAATAAAGGACAGTCATAGGTACAAGAAATAAAAGCGGTACTAATGTGGTAATCTTGTTCTTGGGTGAGGGACCAAGAACAGCTCCAGTCTGCAGCTCTCAGGGAGACCAATGCAGAAAGTGGGTGATTTCTGCATTTCCAACTGAGGTACCAAGTTCTTCTCATTGGGACTCGTTAGGCAGTGGGTGCAGCCGATGGAGGGCGAGCAACAGCAGGATGGGACATTCTTCACCCAGGAAGTGGAGGGAGCTGGGGGAACCTCCCTCCCCCAGCCAAGGGAAGCAATGAGGGACTGTACTACCTGGCCAAGATACAACATTTTTTCCCACAGTTTTGGCAATCTGAAGATCAGATTTCCTTGTGTGCCTACACTGGGTGTCAAGCACCAAACTGAGTGACTGTTTGAGCAGATACTGAGCTAGCTGCAGGAGTTATTTTTTGTACTCCAGTGACACCACTGAGGCAGAACCATTGACTCCCTTGGAAAGGGGGTTGAAGCCAGGGGGCCAAGTGGTCTCACTCAGCAGGTTCCACTCCCATGGAGCCTGACAAGCTAAGAACCACTGGCTTGAAATTCTCACTGCCAGCACAGCAGTCTGCAGTCAACCTGTGGAAGACCTAGCTTGATGGGGGAGGGGTATCCATCATTACTGAGGTTTTAGTAGGCAGTTTTCCTCTGAGAATGCTAAGCAGGCTGGGAGGTGTGGACTGGGTGGTATTCACCACAACTCGGCACAGTCGCTATGGCCAGACTGCCTCTCTAGATCCTCCTTATTGAGCAGAGCATCTCTGAAGGAAAGGTAACAGCCCCAGTCAGGGGCTTGCAGGCAAAACTCCCTTCTCCCTGGGACAGAGCACCTGGGGGAAGGGGTGGCTGTAGGCACAGCTTCAGCAGATTTAATCTCTCCTGCCTGCTGGCTCTGAAGAGAGCATCTTGACAAGATGAATTGTCCCAGCACAGTGCACCAGCTCTGCTAAGGGACAGACTACCTCCTCAAGTGGGTCCCTGACCCCCATGCCTCCTGACTGGGAGAGACCTCCCAACAGGGGTGGACAGACACCTCATACAGGAGAGCTCTGGCTGGCATCAGGCAAGTGCCCCTCTGGGAAAAAGCTTTTAGAGGAAGGAGCAGGCAGCAATCTTTGGTGTTCTGCCGCCTCCACTGGTGATACCCAGGTGAACCTCTAGCAAACTGCAGCAGACCTGAAGAGAGGCCTGACTGTTAGAAGAAAAACTAAAAAATAGAAAGCAACAACATCAACATCAACAAAAAGGACCCCACACGAAAACCCCCTCCAAAAGTCATCAGCCTCAAAGATCAAAGCAGATAAACAAAACCAGTACAAAAATGCTGAAAATTCCAAAAAAACAGAATGCCTCTTCTCCTCCAAATGATTGCAACTCCCCTCCAGCAAGGGCACAGAACTGAATGGAGGATGAGATTGAAGAATTGACAAAAGTAGGCTTCAGAAGGTAAATAACAAACTCCTCTAAGCTAAAGGAGCATGTTCTAACCCAATGCAAGGAAGCTAAAAACCTTGATAAAGTTTTTTAGTTCCTTTACAAGAACCGCTAACTAGAATAACCAGTTTAGAGAGAAACATAAATGACTTGATGCAGCTGAAAAACACAGCATGAGAACTTTGTGAATCATACACAAGTATCAATAGCTGACTCAATCAAGTGGAAGAAAGGATATCAAGATTGAAGATAAACTTATTGAAATAAAGCATGAAGACAAGATTTGAGAAAGAAGAATGAAAAGGAATGAACAAAGCCTCCAAGAAATATGGGAGTATGTGAAAAGACCAAACCTACAAATAATTATGTACCTGAAAGTGACAGGGGGAATGGAACCAAGATGGAAAACACACTTAGCAATATTATCCAGAAGAACTAGCAAGACAGGCCAACATTCAAATTCGAGAAATACAGAGAACATCACTAAGATACTCCTCAAGAAGAGCAATCCCAGGACACATGATTGTCAGATTCTCTAAGGTTGAAACAAAGGAAAAATGTTAAGGGCAGCTAGAGAAAAAGATCAGGTTACCTACAAAGGGAAGCTGATAAGACCAACAGTGGATCTCTCTGCAGAAACCCTACAAATCAAAAGAGGGTGGGGGCCAATATTCAACATTCTTAAAGAAAAGAATTTTCAATCCAGAATTTCATATCCAGTCAAATGAAGCTGCATAAGTGAAGGAGAAATAAAATCCTTTCCAGATAAGCAAATGCTGAGGGATTTTGTCACCACCAGACCTGCCTTACAAGAGCTTCTGAGGAAGCCTAAATATAGAAAGAAAAAACCAGTACTGGCCACTGCAAAAACACACCAAAATATAAAGATTAATGACACTATGAAGAAACTGCATCAACTAATGTGCAAAATAACCAGCTCGCAACATGATGACAGGATCAAATTCACACATAACAATATTAACCTTAAATGTAATGAGCTAAATGCCCCGATTAAAAGACACAGATTGGCAAATTGGATAAAGAGCCAAGACCCATCCGAATGCTGTATTCAGGACACATCTGTTGTGCAAAGACACACATAGGCTCAAGATAAAGGGCTGGAGTAATATTTACCAAGAAAATGGAAAGCCAAAAAAAAAAAAAATAGCAGGGGTTGCAATCCCAGTCTCTGATAAAACAGACTTTAAACCAACAAAGATCCAAAAAGTCAAAGAAGGCCATTACATAATGATACAGGAAACAATTCAACAAGAAGAGCTAATTATCCTAAATATATATGCACCTTATACAGGAGCACCCAGATTCATAAAACAGATTCTTAGAGACCCTACACAATAATAGTGGAAGATTTTAACACCCCATTATCAATATTAGACAGCTCAACGAGACAGAAAATTAATAAGGATACTCAGGGCTTGAACTCTGCTCTGGACCAAGTGGACGTAATATACATCCACAGATATATATTTGGATGTCTCCACTCCAAATCAACAGAATATACATTCTTCTCAGTGTCACATAGCACTAATTCTAAAATCAGCCACATAATTGGAAGTAAAACACGCCTTGGCAAATGCAAAATAACAGAAACCATAACAAACAGTCTCTCAGACCACAGTGCAATCAAATTAGAACTCAAAATTAAGAAACTCACTCAAAACTGTACAACTACATGGAAATGGAACAATCTGCTCCTGAATAACTATTGGGTAAATAACAAAATTAAGGCAGAAATAAATAAGTTATTTGAAACCATTGAGAACAAAGAGACAACATACCAGAATCTCTGGGACTCAACTAAAGCAGCGTTAAGAGGGAATTTTATAGCAGTAAATGCCCCCATGAGAAAGCTGGAAAGATCTGAAATTAACACCCTAACATAACAATTAAAGAGCTAGAGAAGCAAGACAAACAAATTCAAAAGCTAGCAGAAGAAAATAAATAAAATCAGAGCCAAACTGAAGGAGATAGAGACATGAAAAACTCTTCAAAAAAATCAATGAATCCAGCAGCTGGTTTTTTTGAAAAGATTAACGAAATAGATAGACGGCTAGTCAGACTAATAAAGAAGAAAAGAAAGAAGAATCAAATAGACATAATAAAAACTGGTAAAGGGAATATTACCACTGATCTCACAGAAATACAAACTACCATCAGAGAATTCCGTAAACACCTCTACACAAACAAGAAAATCCAGAAGAAATGGATAACTTCCTAAACACATACTTCCTCACAAGACTAAACCATGAAGAAGTCTAATTCCTGAATAGACCAATAACAAGTTCTGAAATTGAGACAATAATTAATAACCTACCAACTAAAAAAAAAGCCCAGAACCCAATGAATTCACAGCCAAACTCTCCCAGAGGTACCAAGAGAAGCTGGTATCATTCCTTCTGAAACTATTCTAAACAATTGAAAAAGAGGGACTCCTCCCTAACTCATTGTATGAAGCCAGCATCATCCTGATAACAAAACCTGACAAAGACACAACAACAACAACAACAATAAAATTCAGGCCAATATCCCTGATGAACATCAATGTAAAAATCTTCAATAAAATCCTGGCAAACTGAATCCAGAAGCACTTCCAAAAGCTTATCCAAAATGATCAACTTGACTTCATACCTGGGATGTAAGGCAGGTAGATTATGTTTATTGTAATCCGTCACATAAACTGAACCAATAACAAAAACCACATGATTATCTCAATAGATACAGAAAGGGCCTTCAATAAAATTAAACATCCCTTTATGCTAAAACTCAGTAAACTAGGTATTGATGGAACATATCTCAAAATAATAAGAGCATTTTTTTGAAGAAACCATAGCCAATATCATACTGAATAGACAAAAAGTGGAAGCATTTCCTTAGAAAACTGGCACAAGACAAGGATGCCCTATCTCATCACTCCTGTTCAGCATAGGATTGGAAGTTCTGGCCAGGACAATCAGGCAAGAGAAAGAAATAAAGGTATTTAAATAGGAAGAGAGGAAGTTAAATTGTTTCTGTTTGCAGACAACATGATTGTATATTTAGAAAACTCCATCGTCTCAGCCCCAAAATTCCTTCAGCTGATAAGCAACTTCAGCAAAGTCTCAGGATACAGAATCAATGTGCAAAAATCACAAGCATTCCCATACAACAATAATAAACCAACAGAGAGACAAATCATGAGTGAACTCCCATCACAATTGCTACAAAGAGAATAAAACACTTGGGAATACAACTTATAAAAGAGGTAAAGGGCCTCTTCAAGGAGAACTACAAGCCACTGCTCGAGGAAATAAGAGAGGACACAAACAAATGGGAAAAAACTTACATGCTCATGGATAGGAAGAATCAATATCATGAAAATGGCCATATTGCTCAAAGTAATTCCTAGATTCAATGCTATTCCCATAAAGCTACCAATGACTTTCTTTGCAGAATTAGACAAAATTACTTTAAATTTCATATAGAATTTAAAAAGTCCATATAGCCAAAACAATCCTAAGCAAAAAGAACTAAGCTGGAGGCATCATGCTATCTGACTTCAAGCCATACTACAAGTCTCCAGTAACCAAAACAGCATGGTACTGGTACCAAAACAGATATATAGACCAATGGAACAGAGCAGAGGCCTCAAAAATAACACTACACATCTACAACCATCTGATCTTTGACAAGCATGACAGAAACAAACAACGGAGAAAGGATTCCTGCTCAATAAATGGTGTTGGGAAAATTGGCTAGCCGTATGCTGAAAACGGAAACTGGACCCCTTCCTTA